TTTGGTTTGGGTTTTTTTTTTTTTTTTTTTGCTCATTTTACTTCCGGTCTCAGATTCTCCTAACTTCCAGCTGCTCTGACAGGCTCACCCTGCTCACCTACACACGTGCTTTGCCCTCACACTCAGGAAACTTGTGAAGTGGAGATTTAAGTGTTGAAGGAAGTGTGTGAGGATGGGTGGGTGTGGCTTTGCACCTGCTCCTCCCTTTGGGAATCAGATAACCACAGCAGCTCAAGTAGGGGGCAGGGGCAGGTCAGAGGAGGTCCAGCTGACATTCTGAGAGAACAAACTCTGTCCTCTAAGTTTGTTTTGTAGATCAGAAGGTTTTAGGTGGTGATCTTTTATCCATGCCAATAATTTAATCCAAGAATTAAAAGGCTGGTTCAAGTACAGTAGACTGCTTTGCTTGTCAGTGTCTTTAATCTAACATTATACTTTAAATAAAACATTATTATTCATTCTTCTTAGTAAAAACCATTGCAACCCATACGATGTAAGCATTTGAAGCTCAAGAAGAAACAAAAGAAGAAACCGTTCAAGATTAGATAAAGAAGAAATGACCTTCAAATTTAGATCCACTCCTTTGCTCAGAAAGAGGCATCTGGAGTCAATGATGCATATAAAACACCTGTACCAGGTGGACGATCCATTCCTCACCCAGAGGTCTCCTTGGGACTGTAGTGTCATTGACTAATCACTTCTACTACACTCATCACTGTTGTCATCATTATTCAAAAGATGCAGAAGAATGAGAATGAAAAATGGACAGGAGATATGGAGACATGATGGAAAAAGGATTAGGGAATATTTGGTATGATAGTTAGTCTGAATACAGTGAATACATAAAGACATAACAAACCCAAACAAGGCTTTTCCTGGAAACCGAACAATTGAAAATACTAACACTCTTGTCCTCCTATGAAACTGAATTATTTTTATTTTACAAACAATGTGTCCTGAAAGAGTTCTTGCAGCAGGCTAAATTTAAACCTGTTATAAATTCATGTCTAATATAATACTTGTCTTTTCTGCAAAGGAAAATAAAACACTTCAGTCCATGAGTAGAAAAGTGAATTGGAATTTGGTATTCACATGAACTACAAAGTCATAAAATTAATGGATGATGAGAGACTTGTCTTGAAGACAGTGTGTAAGAAGATGCACCAATAATAAATTCGCTCAAGGGATAAACTATTTTTTTTCTGCCTATAGCCCATCTGGCTGTCACCTTGAAATGAATATTTATTAAGGGGATAAAATGAAAGCATTTTAAGTCTACCAAAGGAATGTCTTTAAATATACATGATGACAAAAATATAATAATAGATGATGAGATGATCTGGATTTTTTAAATAATAGAATAAATCACACTCTTCAGGAAGTACGGTGTTAGGGATATGTTTTTGGCATGTAATAGTTCTTAAATCAAGTTGTGAAATCAGTGAAGTAAGAGAGGACCACTTTCTGGAAATGGGATCTCCTCAGATACTCAACCCATCCATCTGCAAAGCCTCGTGGCTGGCAAGCTGCTCAGGTTGGAGCCTGGTATGGTTTGAATGTCCCCCAAATTCATATGTTGGCATTTGATTGTGATAGGATTAAGAGGACAAATTTCTTTTGAAACAATTATTTAATTTTATTTTCCAGTTTGGTCAGAGAGTGATAGAGAAAGAGAGAGGGAAAGTGAGAAAGCAAGCCACCAGGTTCGGAAATTCGCTCAAGGGATAAACTATTTTTTTTTCTGCCTATAGCCCATCTGGCTGTCACCTTGAAATGAATATTTATTAAGGGGATAAAATGAAAGCATTTTAAATCTCCCAAAGGAATGTCTTTAAATATACATGATGACAAAAATATAATAATAGATGATGAGATGATCTGGATTTTTTAAATAATAGAATAAATCACACTCTTCAGGAAGTACGGTGTTAGGGATATGTTTTTGGCATGTAATAGTTCTTAAATCAAGTTGTGAAATCAGTGAAGTAAGAGAGGACCACTTTCTGGAAATGGGATCTCCTCAGATACTCAACCCATCCATCTGCAAAGCCTCGTGGCTGGCAAGCTGCTCAGGTTGGAGCCTGGTATGGTTTGAATGTCCCCCAAATTCATATGTTGGCATTTGATTGTGATAGGATTAAGAGGACAAATTTCTTTTGAAACAATTATTTAATTTTATTTTCCAGTTTGGTCAGAGAGTGATAGAGAAAGAGAGAGGGAAAGTGAGAAAGCAAGCCACCAGGTTCGGGACTTGAACCACAGTCAGCCATGTGGGATCATGTCTAATATAATACTTGTCTTTTCTGCAAAGGAAAATAAAACACTTCAGTCCATGAGTAGAAAAGTGAATTGGAATTTGGTATTCACATGAACTACAAAGTCATAAAATTAATGGATGATGAGAGACTTGTCTTGAAGACAGTGTGTAAGAAGATGCACCAATAATAAATTCGCTCAAGGGATAAACTATTTTTTTTTCTGCCTATAGCTCATCTGGCTGTCACCTTGAAATGAATATTTATTAAGGGGATAAAATGAAAGCATTTTAAGTCTACCAAAGGAATGTCTTTAAATATACATGATGACAAAAATATAATAATAGATGATGAGATGATCTGGATTTTTTAAATAATAGAATAAATCACACTCTTCAGGAAGTACGGTGTTAGGGATATGTTTTTGGCATGTAATAGTTCTTAAATCAAGTTGTGAAATCAGTGAAGTAAGAGAGGACCACTTTCTGGAAATGGGATCTCCTCAGATACTCAACCCATCCATCTGCAAAGCCTCGTGGCTGGCAAGCTGCTCAGGTTGGAGCCTGGTATGGTTTGAATGTCCCCCAAATTCATATGTTGGCATTTGATTGTGATAGGATTAAGAGGACAAATTTCTTTTGAAACAATTATTTAATTTTATTTTCCAGTTTGGTCAGAGAGTGATAGAGAAAGAGAGAGGGAAAGTGAGAAAGCAAGCCACCAGGTTCGGGACTTGAACCACAGTCAGCCATGTGGGAGTCCAGTGCCTTTAACCATCATGCCACCTGTAGGCCGCAAAGGGCAAAAATTTAGTCCAACTATAGTATTGAAAGGGGGAGCTTTGAGAGGAGATTAGGATTAAGGCCATTGGGGCATGAGCTCTCATAATAAACTCATGATGGGTTTATAAAGAGAGAGGGACAGACAGACAGAGACACCCAGACATAGGTACATGTACCTGCCTTCCACCACGTTGTAGCCACTGGATCTGAGACCTTCAAACAGAGTAGAGTAAATTAATTTTTCTTTTCTTTCTTTTTTTTGGGAAAGATTTTTGCTATAGAGTGCATGCGCTCACTAGAGAAACAGAGAGAGAAAGAGAAAGTGAGAAATCAGCCTCCAAGGGGGATGACCATCCCTTCTCCTCCATTTTCTTCTTGGGATTTTGGGCACACATACACACACACCTGGTATGAGTGTTAAGTTGCTGGGTCCAGGACTTGAATCTCAGTTGGCCATGTGGGAGTCCAGATACCTTAATGCCATCTGCTGGCCCCTAAATATCTATTTTTATAAATTACCCAGGGTGGGTTTTTATTTTTTTCCTAGAGGACATGAGCATTTGACAGAGAGGGAGAAGAGATAGCACTCTCTTTGGGGAATGGCCATGCCACAATCCCTTCTCCATCTCTCCCTCCTTTCAGGATTTTTGGGCACACGTACATATCTGGTATGTGTTCTCAAGCTACCAGGTCCAGGACTTGAACTGTACATTTAACTATGCAACACCAGCTGCCTTAACACCAAGCCACAAATCCAGCCTGACATTTTCCGTTATTACCAGTGGACAGAGAAGAACACAGCCCTAGTTGTGTTCTCCCAAGATGTTCTGCATGAGGACAACCTTACCTGCCTATTGGAGGGCAATGACCTTTCACGTTGCCCATAATACTGCTCCAAATCATTTTATCTACTCACCTGGCAAAAATGCCATCACTGAGAAATAAGGGTGTAAAATGAGATGACCACTAAAGTCCTCTGGAACAAGGGGACTAAGACTCCTTAGACAATGCCCTGCTGCTGCCCTGATCTTGCGTTGCCTTCCTGCCAGTAGCTTCGACCTGATGATGGTGTCAACAGTATGCAGCTGGTCCTCCTGGCACTCCTGGAACTGGCCCCTGCAGTCCATGGGGAGCAGCAACCTCAGGGGGGGCTTCTTCCCCAGGACTTCGCATCTTAGGAACCTCTTCCCTTGACTTTCTTCTAAGCCAATTAAGGACAGTTTTTCTCTTTCTTCAAGCACCATGGGCGACTCGGCTGTGGAGATGGGGATCAAATTCTGGAAGCAGAGAGGGCTTCTGTGGGTTGTGGAACACTGGGTAACATGAACAGAGTGGACCAAATCAGCCACAGTTTCAAATGGCACTGGATCTGCAATCAGCTGGAACTTCCCTGAAGAGGAACAATAAAAAAAAAAAAGCAGCGTTCAAGTTAGACCATCAGTAGAAACAGTAGGAACTCTTTGCTCACTTTCTTTTTTTCGGGAGAGATTTTTGCTATCAGTAGAAATAGTAGGAATGGTGACTACAAATCTTGTGCTGTTAAGTACGTGTTTGTCACTATTGTTTGTTTGAATACATCTCTCTCTCACCTGCTGAATTCCAAGCAGTCACTAGGACCTATCAGGTCTCCCTCAGAAAGATTCCTTCTCCATTCTTCAGCCCTATCCCTAAGGCAGGCCCTTTGCTATAGAATGGTCTCTGTGCTTCATTCTCTTCTCTTTCCCAAAGACTTCTACAAATTCTAGGCCATTCCTGTTTCAAACACCCCTAATGATATCCTGTGGCCCAAGGGGAGCATATCCTTCAGCCACATGTCCTCTGCAGACCTCCCTCCCGTGTTTCCCAGCACCTGGACCCAAACACAGGCACACCCAAGTGTTCACCCTTGAACATGCCTTCATCTCCTCCCTCAACCACCTGGATTTTACTCTGCCCTGTCCTAAAACTGTCAGAAATCCAAGCGACCTGGTGAGACATGATCTCCTCTGGGAAGCCTTCTCTGGATGACCTTCTTGAGATCATATTTCTCTGTGCTTACACATCGCACACATACACACACACCTGGTATGAGTGTTAAGTTGCTGGGTCCAGGACTTGAATCTCAGTTGGCCATGTGGGAGTCCAGATACCTTAATGCCATCTGCTGGCCCCTAAATATCTATTTTTATAAATTACCCAGGGTGGGTTTTTATTTTTTTCCTAGAGGACATGAGCATTTGACAGAGAGGGAGAAGAGATAGCACTCTCTTTGGGGAATGGCCATGCCACAATCCCTTCTCCATCTCTCCCTCCTTTCAGGATTTTTGGGCACACGTACATATCTGGTATGTGTTCTCAAGCTACCAGGTCCAGGACTTGAACTGTACATTTAACTATGCAACACCAGCTGCCTTAACACCAAGCCACAAATCCAGCCTGACATTTTCCGTTATTACCAGTGGACAGAGAAGAACACAGCCCTAGTTGTGTTCTCCCAAGATGTTCTGCATGAGGACAACCTTACCTGCCTATTGGAGGGCAATGACCTTTCACGTTGCCCATAATACTGCTCCAAATCATTTTATCTACTCACCTGGCAAAAATGCCATCACTGAGAAATAAGGGTGTAAAATGAGATGACCACTAAAGTCCTCTGGAACAAGGGGACTAAGACTCCTTAGACAATGCCCTGCTGCTGCCCTGATCTTGCGTTGCCTTCCTGCCAGTAGCTTCGACCTGATGATGGTGTCAACAGTATGCAGCTGGTCCTCCTGGCACTCCTGGAACTGGCCCCTGCAGTCCATGGGGAGCAGCAACCTCAGGGGGGGCTTCTTCCCCAGGACTTCGCATCTTAGGAACCTCTTCCCTTGACTTTCTTCTAAGCCAATTAAGGACAGTTTTTCTCTTTCTTCAAGCACCATGGGCGACTCGGCTGTGGAGATGGGGATCAAATTCTGGAAGCAGAGAAAAAAAAAAAAAAAAAAAAAAGAAAAGCAGCGTTCAAGTTAGACCATCAGTAGAAACAGTAGGAACTCTTTGCTCACTTTCTTTTTTTCGGGAGAGATTTTTGCTATCAGTAGAAATAGTAGGAATGGTGACTACAAATCTTGTGCTGTTAAGTACGTGTTTGTCACTATTGTTTGTTTGAATACATCTCTCTCTCACCTGCTGAATTCCAAGCAGTCACTAGGACCTATCAGGTCTCCCTCAGAAAGATTCCTTCTCCATTCTTCAGCCCTATCCCTAAGGCAGGCCCTTTGCTATAGAATGGTCTCTGTGCTTCATTCTCTTCTCTTTCCCAAAGACTTCTACAAATTCTAGGCCATTCCTGTTTCAAACACCCCTAATGATATCCTGTGGCCCAAGGGGAGCATATCCTTCAGCCACATGTCCTCTGCAGACCTCCCTCCCGTGTTTCCCAGCACCTGGACCCAAACACAGGCACACCCAAGTGTTCACCCTTGAACATGCCTTCATCTCCTCCCTCAACCACCTGGATTTTACTCTGCCCTGTCCTAAAACTGTCAGAAATCCAAGCGACCTGGTGAGACATGATCTCCTCTGGGAAGCCTTCTCTGGATGACCTTCTTGAGATCATATTTCTCTGTGCTTACACATCGAGGTTTTTTTTTTTTTTTTTCTATCTTCTAGTTAGCTCGTGTCAATGAGACTTTTAGAGTTTCTGGGATCACAGTATCTGAATCCAACCAAACTCATGGTCCAAAGAGTACATGTTCAGGTTGATGTCCCAGAGAGTCTGAGGGATGTCAGCTCCTAGTGACTATGACTACTTGTGGGTTTATCTGCCACCACACTGGGTACAATAGAGGGCAGGGTGACAGTACCATTGGACAACACTATTAGGGTGCAGTAAGTGCTTATGAAGTTTGCTAACTTTAAGGGGTTTGTAGTTGTAGGCATATAGGAGCAAAATGAATTTTTAAGAAATGGAAACAAGCTGACCTCTAAATTGACCCTAAGTGGCACTTCCTTACTCAACACACAACTGACATTAATTTTTTCTCCTACTGCTTATTATCTTCAAAAATAAAATTATTGCCCTATTATGGACACCTGCTTACTGCTAGTACATTTTCTGCTTCCTGTCTGACATCAGTATCTCAGTTTTTTGTTTGTTTTGCTTTGTTTAGGTATTTTATTATATTATTATTATTATTATTATTATTGTTTTAGGTTTTTCCCATAGTATTTATTTATTGAGAGGTTTTTGCTATAGGGCACGTGCACTCTCCAGACAGAGAGAGACAGAGAGACAGAAAGCGAGAAAACACCCCCCGGGTGATGGCCATACCGCAATCCCTTCTCCTCCATTCTCCTCTCGGGATCTTGGGCACGCACACACACGTGCCCAGTGTGAGTTTAAGCCACTGGGTCTGGGACTCGAACCGCGGTCGACTACATGGGAGTCCAGCGACCTCTTGGGCTTTTGACTACATATACATGCCCTGCATGATTTTCAGGCCTCTGGGTCTTAGACTCCAACCATGGTCAGCCATGTGGGAATCAAGTGCCTTAACCACTGCAGCACCTGATGGCCTCTTGTTTAGGTATTTTAAACCATCCCTGCCTCCATTCTCATGTGGTTTGGGTGGGACTGACCCATCTTCAGGTTTAGGGACCAGTTAGCATATTCCTGTTCCCTAGTTACAGTGATGGGGACTGCTATAATTTGGCTGGCTCCTAAAAATCAGTGTGTTGGGTCTTAGTTGTGTTGTAAAGGTGTTAAGTGAAAACTTAATCCTTTCATGGTTTCCCATGGTGAGGCCTTGGTTGTGATAGTCATTAGTGTGTGGTCCTTATGACTGAGTTCTGTGGGTTTATAAGAGAGGAAAAGAGACCAGGACAGGCAGATACTTAGGGACAGCCACTCTGCTCAAGATCCTGCCCTCCACCATGATGGACCTCCAAATCATGAGCTAATTAAACCTGTTTTCTATAAATCACCCAGTCTGAGGTATTTCTTTCTTTCTTTCTTTAAGGACTTGATTTATTTATTGTGATTTTTTCCATTTATTTATTTATTTTTACCTTTTCCCACAAATGTTTACTTTACATATCAAAATTTTTTTGCTCATACTCCAGAGTTCTTGACAGTTAATAAACAACTTTCAAAATTTCAAAATACTGAATTTTAAAGATAATGTTCAAAATATTTCTTATAATTTGGTATAATTTCATTTCTGACTCTATAAAAACAGAAACAGTATGGTTTTAAATATTTTTGAGAAAATATTTACATGTCAACTGATGGGGCCATGCAGGCAACACAAGCTGGTAAGGATGCTGCCTCCCATTCTAAGGCAAGGCCTGGACTGGGAAG